CTGGGCAAACACAAGCTGTGCAGCCAACCGCACTGCCTCATTCAGGCTCAAAGACAGACAGACGGACGGACGGACAGACGGACAGACAGACAGACGGACAGACGGACAGAAAGACAGACGGACAGACAGACAGACAGACTTGTGTGTTGCTGGGACATGTAGTTTACTGGCAACGTGCTTTTGTAAATCGAGCAAGCTCTTGTGGGCGCAGGCCTTGAGTTGGACACCCCTGCTGTAGGGTGATATAGGTTTTTGGCATGTAAATGGTCTGCAAAGGCTAGTTCCCTCAGAGGGAGTTTCTCACCCCTGCTCGAAAGGCCTCCATTGGACTCCTTTGTTTACTTTTGTTACATAGCGACATCACTATGTGCAACTCCCGCTTATGTTGGTTAGCGCTCCAACTCATTGTACATGATAGGCTAAGGGGCGGGACATATCTAAGCGGTTGACCAATCACAACAGAGAGGGCCGGCTAACCAATCGGGTTTAAGAAAACAGGTGCTGCAGCACAGGCAGTATGAGTATGTAAATATGTCACAGTAGAGGCACGAAGTACAAATCTGAATAGGCTCCTTTAAGTTTATGACAAACTCGCTTTTATTTTGAAGTAAACACACTCCCTTCCTGTGCAGTGGTGTCTTCCTAGCAGCGTGTCAGTGGGCGGGCGCTGGGAGTGGAGACAAAGGAAACAATAACATTATACTGCTGACGAAATGTCTTATAAATATCTTAAAACTTAAAAAAGCTGGTGTTAAGAGCAGGTGCACAAGCTCTATTACTATATATGTTGACGCGTTTATTAGTAACTTATTAACCATCCGAAATGAAGCATACGCACCGATATAACGTACATTTCGCAGTTTAATGTGCGCCACAAGTCATTGCATCGTAATCACTACGTTCTCACAGCATCACTCAAAGAGGTAAATAACACAGTGGAAGAAAACGAAAGGGACCGAGTGCTGTCTGTTAGGGAGGAAATAAAGATAAAGAAACAAAACTCCCACAAGCTTAAGTGCTGCTGCAGGAAGATTTTCCCCTGACTGTGAATGTGGCCTTAATAAGAACAGACACAGCTTTAAGAGTCCAATCCAAACCCATTGCACAATATCATGCACGCACGCCCAGAGCTGCTGTAAGTTTGAGCAATGGAGGAACTAGTTTATTACAAGCATATAACATGCAAAATACCTCAGTGCAAAGGCGGACTGCTGATCAAACCCAGCTGTAGATTAATAGTGTGAGAGTGACAGAGAAAGCTTTTTACTGACAAACACTGAGAGTTGCACAGTATTCAACTGGGGTGTGGAGTTACCGTTCTGTGTATAAGTATTACAGGTCAAACCAGATAACACAACAATGCCTGTAGTATTTAGTGTTATACATGGGAACATATAAAAATGTGTACACAGGGCTAGGCTTGTCCTTTATTTCGTCCTTGTGACAGTACTTCACTTTAAGATTGTTTATCTGACAGAGGTTTCAGTTCACTTGGAGATCTAGACTGTGATTTTATATATATAACAGAATATTGTTGTTGTGGGGATGACTCATCAGGCCTGCCTCAATTGCTGACATGTCTCCCCGCCTGTTCTCATTCTCATTTAGGAGTCTTTATTTCATATTAAGTGTGGTTTAAAAATTACACTGCACACTCACTGTCAGATCACATAACGTACTGTATGTATGACGTATGTATGTATGTACCTATGTGTGTATGTATATCTATGTATGTAAGTATGTATGTAATAATCTATGTATGTATGTATGTAAGAAACTATTTAAGAATGTATGTATGTAAGTATCTAGGTAAGAGAATGTAAATGTGTCGCCGTATATAAACACCTCTTCTTCCTTCTTTCAGCGACTCAGCTATGGAGAGCTCCTTTGAGGTTTCCCAGACTGACGGCACCTCTACCCCCAATCCCCTCCAAACCCAAGACAGACGTAATTGTCTTACCGAAGAAGAAGGGATAGCAAGTGCAGGGGATACTCTTGATTCCAGCGTGGAAACCTGTCCTGCCACCCAAAGGCCCAAACCACAAAGCATCCACGGAAATTGTAACTAAACCAGTAGAGAAAGAGGAAAATAAGAAAGAAGATGAATTGCAGACTTCTGTCGTACAAAACCTCGAAGAATCAGGCAGTGACGTTTCCTCACAGACAATCCAGCGTATGGATGGGGCGGCAGCAGGAAGCGTCTGTCCATGAAGCTCACCTCCAAGTTTGAGTCAGGTGGCCCATGTCTGTCCCCCCAGCCAGCTGTTACCATGACAACAACCGACCCAAAGACGCGGCAGGGGCGCGATGGAGCGCTGCTGGGGGTAAACAGCATAAAACGCAGAATCACCTCCTGTTTGCTCCTCATCGAAGCCAGAGATCATGACAAAGAGAGAGGAAACGATGCAGGAAGTGTGAAGGGTGTAAAGGAGAGAAGACGGAAGTGCTCCAAGATCTCGCTCCAAGGAGCATGCCTTCTTTCATTTGTGTTGTTTCTGTTTGGTAACGTGTTAAGACATGAACATTCTCCACCAAGTGCAAACAAGTATAATGTTATCTAAGGACAATAGCACCCTACATTTCATTTCAGATTCTCCTGTTGTGATCAGATGCATGCAACAGATCAGGTGTTTTCGTTAAGACCAATGTTGAGCATTATTTATGCCCCATGATGAAGTCCACATTACTCCATGTATAATAACTTACTTCTGAATGTACTGTACTGTTCTCTCAGTAGTAATGTGGTAAATGAATAACGTAGCTTGCCAGATTTATGTTCTCAAATTACACTAGATAAGAGTTCAAACCAGGCCACTTCAAAGTATGAAATTTGAGATCTCCAACCACCTACTGGTATGAGTACAGACAGAGTATGTTTATTTAAAAAACCTGTATGGTATATCTGTCAATGGAGCTTGTTGTTGGTTACCTTGTCAGTGGGGAAAAGTCTCCAGGAAGTGACAGCACCAGGCTAAGGCAGACTCACGTTTACATTTTTTGCATGACATTCTTTTGCATTGATCCAACAAACAAAAGATATGTTAATGACTGAGCTGTGGGGTGAGAAGTCATAATGCTAAGCTAACAGGCTGCTGGATGTAAATGTGTATTTAGCATACAGTCATGAGAGAATTCCGATTTAGAATACCTTTGTTAGTCCCACAGATGGGAAATCATTAACAGGACAGTATTGAAAATAAAATGATAGATTGCACAGTAATTGTACATTGTGTTACAGTAGTTGAATAGTCTAATTAAGAGATAGCACCCATGTGTTATAGTCTGTTGTTATATGTGTGGTGGTATACCAGGGGCCATGATGGTTGTAAAGAACGCCGGCCAGTCACACATTGGACACCGCCGAACCACCCACAGAGACCCCGATGGAAGCATCCAAAGACGCTCTTACTGATGCCCGCTCAACAGAAAGCTCCAAAGAAACGCCAGAAGAGGATATGGACGACACGTCAAGTGAAGGGAGTGTCAAACTACGCAAACAAGGCTCATATACACTCAACGCTGACGAGGGAGACTCCAGTGAGATACCTGAACACGCTCTCAAGAGGGACAATGTCAAACGACGCTCTGTTCGCTTCGGTGTGGTGGAGAGGATGATGTCCATTGATCCTGGGCTCACCCTCAGAGGATGGGAAGAGGAAGAAGAAGACGAATCGGAGGATGAAGCTGAAGAGGACGTCCCTACGCCTGTCTACAGAAGAGTAGGAGGTCTACAGAAGAAGGAAGACGAGGAGGCGCAAGAAGAAGAACGTCTGAAACATTTGGAATTTGAAAAAAGACGAAGAGCGGATGAACACGAGCAGCCGAGAGTCAAGATGGAAGAAGAGAAAGAGAAGGCGAGGCCGAGGGAAGAGGAGGAGAGGGAGAGGTTGAACGGAGAGGAGATGGAGCGGGAAAGAGAGAAGGAGTTGATGTGGCAGAGAGAGAGAGAGAGGAAAGAGAGAGGGCGAAGCAGAAAGAAGAGAGATTTCAACAAGATCCAAGAGGGGAAACAACGAGAGGAGCGGACGGGGTAAGAGAAGAAGAACAGGGGGAAGGAGAGAAAGAGTTGGAGTGGCAGAGACAGAGAGAAGAGGAAAGAGAGAGGGCGAAACAGAAAGAAGAGAGACTAAGACAAGTTCAGGAGGAGAGGAAAGAGGGAGTGGACGAGAGACTGGTCAACGGGAAAGAAGAATACAACGTCCAGCGCAAAGTGAGAGAGAGGGAAGGTAACAAGAAGTTACAAAGAGAGGAGGAGTGGGAACAAGCCTGGGTGAGCCAGGCAGAGAGGCTGAGTGGAGGAGACGAGAAAGAGAGAGAGAAAGAGATGGAGAGAGAGAAAGAGATGGTGCAGCAGAGGCAGAAAGAGGAGGATAGGGAGAGGGCGAGGCAGAAAGAGGAAAGACTCAGACAGGAGGAGAGGGAGAAAGAAAGACTAAGGGCGGAGGAGGAGAGGAAGAGACAGAGAGAGGAGGAGAGAAGGGAAGAGGAAAGGAAGAGACAAAGTGAGAAAGACCAATTTGAGGAGCTGGAGAAACAAATGCGAGAGGAATTTGAGATAAAGCGTAAACAAGAACTGGAAGAAAAACGAAGAAAGGAAGAAGAGAGAGAAAGGGAGAGGCAGATTACGCTGAAGGAGCTGCAAGAAAAGGAAGAAGAGATGGAGAGAATGAGGCAAATCCAGTTGGAAAAACAGAGAGAGGAGGAGAGAGGGAAGAAAGCAGATGGAGAAAGAAAGAGCGGTGGAGCTGGAGAGAAAGCTGCGAGAGGAATACGAGAGAAAGAGAGCACAAGAGCGGGAAGAAAAGCTCCAAATGGAGGAAGAGAGAAAAAGGCAAGAAAGAGAGAGGGGCCGAAGATGTGCCTCAGGAGCCGCTGCTTTGCCCCACAAAGAGGGGGGCGGAGGTTGTCTACGATGACTTCTCCGTCAGGCCGCCTGACATGCACGTGGTCTACGAAACCCAAGAGATGGGGCTCCAAGCCGAAAGCAGACACCAGACCGCCCTCCAAGAGTTGGGCAGATGTCTCTGGGAACAGACAGGTGTGAACGAGCTAAAGGTAAATACAGACTTTCTGTTGGAATGCAACTTCATTCAAACCTGCTCCTGATTCAGGGAGTAGTTGTGAACACCATATTACATGAAAGACAGTAATGTTCACAAAGGGGAGGTTTAAGCACAGAGACAGGAGAGAACACGTTAATGTGGTTATTTCACCATTGCATCAAATCACCCTGGCAACCACACACACCTCACCTGCACCAACACATTGGTATTCCTGTTGCACGGGTCCAAGCATCTTGTTATCTCGCTTCCCTATCGGTTATTTCCAGCAGCAATGGGTGAGTCATTGCTGATTGAAATATCACCTAATGTTTGTTTGTGGTTTCACAGAGAACTGCAGAGCCAGCTCAGCAGTTTGCGACTCTGACAGCGATCCACCTTATATGGTTACATTTGCTTTTTGTGTTGTCATGCACCAGCCACTCCCATCAGTATATGTTTCAACTTCAATATGAACTAATGAGCTGCAATTAACACAATAAACTGAGTTATCAAATCAATATTGAATACAATACATGTAGAGCCAATCACACACATCTGCTAAAGGATTATGATTGATAAGCTGTTTTGGTAAAATGTTCAATTATTAAAGCTTAGACTAAATTGAGTGTCAGAATAATTGTCTTATGACAATGTATACCACAAGGCAATATAGAGTTGTCATATCAGAGTTTAATATCTGTCCCTTTATCATCTCTTGTAGGTAATTGTAAAACATCTGTGAGCCGCACCTGTGTGAGGAAGTCCTTTGATTTGTTGGGTGTTTAAATTGTGTTTAAAAACTGATAGCCAAAAAATCTGTGGACCCACAGAACGTTGCCATCAGAAACAATGCCTGACGTGTTCAAGACATGTTTTGTCTAGGACGCTACAATATATTTTTCAAACATAGCATAATAGGTCCACTTTAACCGTGATAACAATCCTGACCTATTGTCATGAGGACTCCGGTCTACTTGACTTGTAACATCTGTTTCATCACGCTTCAATTATTATGGTGCAGTCAACAGACCATGTCTGAGCTCACTTCTGGGTGGCTCATTAAACGTCATCGCTGTACTGCCTAAAAGAAGTAGTCCTAAATCTGTTGGAAGCTAAATAGTCTGCTGATGTTGCAAAACAATTTAAAGTCCAAGATCTAGCACATTATGTAACTAAATGAGAAACATCTTGCAAAAGATTACAAATCTGAAAAAGAAAGGAAAGTTTATCTTTACTCTAAAATAAACAAGGAAGCAAAAATTCAAGGTGAGCGTTATCGGAGAACATCAGAAAGTATAAGCAGCGGACAGAACTGAAACCAGGATAATGAAACCTTCTGAACTCTGTGTGTACGTGTGTGTGTGCGTGTCTTTGTGATATTGCATTTCTGTTTGCTACGTCAATGCTTCAGCAAACAAACCAACTCTTTAAACAGGTAAGCTCCTGTAGAGCGGCATTGTGCATAACCACTTATCTTCAGTTAGTCCTTCGGTTTTATTGAAGCTGTGTTTGTCATGAGAGTACAGACGGTTTCTCACCACCGAGTGGCGCTGCTGCTCTTTAAAATTGCACTTCCTGAGTCTGCACCACAACAAGTTCATCTCATGTAGAAGAGCACCTTTCACTGCTATAATATGACAAAAGAACAGAAAGCAGTCAAGTCTATGTCAAATAAATGAAATGTTTCTGCTGCAAGAACCCTCTACAGCTATTTGTGTGGCTGAGAAAAGTTGGACAGGACAGAATGAGGAAAATGTTTACTGGGCAAACACAAGCTGTGCAGCCAACCGCACTGCCTCATTCAGGGACAGACAGACAGACAGACAGACAGACAGACGGACAGACAGACAGACGGACAGACAGACAGACAGACGGACAGACGGACAGACGGACAGACGGACAGACAGACAGACAGACAGACAGACAGACAGACAGACACACGGACAGACAGACGGACAGACAGACAGACAGACAGACAGACACACGGACAGACGGACAGACAGACAAACAGACACACGGACAGACAGACAGATTTTATAGTGGTATGATCCGAGGTGGTCATCATGTCCTCATTTGGATCTGGTCAACAGGGCAGCGTGTCAGAATGACCATACATGGTGCCCCTCTTTCTCTGTCTCTCTACNCAGGGGTGTCAAACTCAATTTCATCTCGGGCCACATTAGCATTATGGTAGCACTCAAAGGGCCAGTTTTATATATAAGACTATATAAAAATACATATAAAAATGTAATATATATAAAATAATGTATTATATTACATTATTGCCTCTGTATTG